TGCTATTTCTGCCAGACCATTGAATGATAGATGGTATGGAGCTGTCCTTATGTCAAATGACTATTTTGACTTTAGGAAATACTCAAATTCCCTGCTGGTAAATGATGGCCCATTATCTGTGACCAATACTTCCATGAGTTCAGACGGCACGGTGGCTCAGTGGTTAGCACTGCTGCCTCACAGTGCCAGGAACCCGAGTTTGATTCCACCCTTGGGTGACTGTATGGAGGTTACACATTCTCCCCGTGTCTGCGTGGGTTTCCTCCGGGTGCTCCAATTTCCTCCCACAGTCCAAAGATGTGCAAGTTTGGTGGATTGGCCATGCTAAATTCCCCATAGTGTTCAGGGACATGTACATTAGGGGGATGGGTCTGGGTGGGATGTTCTGAGGGTCGGTGTGAACTTGTTGGGCCAAAGAGCCTGTTTCTACACTGCAGGGATTCTATGATATATGAGTCCATGTATGGGCAAAGTTTTTCTATCATTCAGCCACTTTGAGTGGGCGTCCACAATGACCAAGAACATTGAGCCCATTAAAGGTCCTGCATAGTTGATGTTTAATTGAGTCCAGGGTTCACCTGGCCATTCCCACAAATGTAGGGGAACTGCTGATGATCATTTTTGTCCTTGTTGGCACTCTCGGTACTGTTCCACGAATGTGGCTATATCTGCATCCAGTCCTGGCTACGAGACATAACTTCTTGCAAACATCTTCATTTTGGAAACCCCTTGATGACCCTGGTGGGGTTCAGCCAGTATCTGGCAATGATCTTTTCTCAGGACAATCACTCTTGCTCCCCATAATAATATGCTGTCCTCAACTGTGACCTGGTTTCTTCAGGTCCGAAAAGGTTTCAGTTTTGGTTGTGAGGGCCCTTTGGTATCCCCCATCACCACCAGTTTGTTTTGCCAGGACCGGATCTTTCTGCTTCCAAAGTATCATATTGTCAGCTGTGACGAAAAGTATGTCCAGAAAATTTTAGAACTATTACTGAATCTTCCAGCGACAGTACCACCGGTGGTGTATCTGCCAGTGGGAGGTGGCTCAATGCATTCACATTTGCTACTAGCCTCACAGATTGTGTTCCAACTTGTAATTATATGCACTTAGAATTAGAGCCCACTGCTGAATTAGGCCTGAAGCTATGGGTGACACTGCCTTGTCCTCTTTAAGCAGACTTAGCAGAGGTTTGTGGTCCATTATTACTACTAATTTACGTCAGTAAAAGTACTGCTGGAACTTCCTGACTCCAAATACGACTGCCAAATTGTCCTTCTCTATCTGGGTGTGTTTACATTCTACATTAGCCAAAGTCCTGGATGCATATGCTTTTGGGCATTCCTCTCCATCGGGCCACCTCTCAGCAAATACTACCCTGATGCCATACGGGGAGCATCGCATGTCAATGGCAGATCTTGCTTGGGATCATAGTGTGCCAATACCTTACAGTATGATAGAAACGAAAACAGAAATTGCTGGAAAGCATAGCAGTTCTGGCAGCATCTGTGCAGAGAAATCAGAGTTAACATTTCAGGTTCAGTGAACCTTCCTCGGGCAGGCATTTTCTAGTAGAATAATGTTGAGCCAGTTTTGCCCCATAAAGCTTAGGCTTGAGCATTACTACAATCACTGTTAACTTAACCAGCTGCTTCTCATAAGAGTCCAGAACTAAAGTTGTACCCTTAATCTGTAAAGGTTCCCTGGTATAGGTTCTCAGGCTAGCTGAGGTCTTGCACAAACATAAGGGTCGGTGTCCAGAGTGATTTTTGTTGCGCTAGTATCCACCTCCATTAGAACCAGGTGACCATTTAACCAAACATTTATTTTGTTTGGTTCTGATTTGGATGTTGCTAAACAATTTAACTGTTCCAAACAAGATACAGGTGAACTTTCCAGGGTTTGCACCTTCCTGGATACCGGCCTATGAATTTTCTTACTCAATTTAGGTAAAGTGAGACTTTTTGCTGTCTCAAGTCCATATACTGGCAGCAACTGCAATGGCTTGGACCCAGAAAAAATTTAAACTGTTTGGCAGAAGCTTGGTTTTGTTTTGGGGTTTTGCTGTGGGCTGACCGAGAGTCACTCTTTTCAGGATATGTCCTGAGTGAGACTTTGCAATTGCCTTAACCTGCGTTCCCCAAGCTCAGTTGGACTGGCGAGGGTGTCTATCCGTACACCCTGCAACTCATATGCTCAACTTGCTACATTTTCCAACGACAGAGCCATTTGTAGTGCCTGTTTGAAGTCGAGTTACACTTCAGATGGTCGGCATTTTTGCATGGTTACCTCATTAATCCCACACACCAAACGGTCATTCAGCATCTCATCTTAAACTCGTCAAAAATCCTGATACAGATTCCCCTGGTTCTCGAATTGCCGAGTAAAACTGATAGCATCTCAGAATTAGAGGAGGCTTGGGGTGGTAATATTCTTTAACAGAAACCAACAACTCTTCAAAGATTTTAGTATCTCATGCCTCAGGCAAAGTTAGGCCTCTAATAATCGAAGAAGTGGCAGGGAGAATTACCCATTGCTTTGCACCTTCCCCAATGTCATTTGCCAGAAAAAAATAACACATTCATTCCACATACTGGGCCCAGTGTTCAAAGGCAGGATCAAATGAGTCAAGCTTCCCAAATAACAGCATGATGCCAAAAATACTAAGCCCAACTCAAAGATGATGGTTGCGAGCGAATTTCTTCAGGAGTGTACAAAAACAGAAGTTGCTGGAAAAGCTCAACAGGTCTGGCAGCATTGTGAAGAAAAATCAGTTAACGTTTTGGGTCTGGTGACTTTTCCTCAGACCCTTCTGAGGAAGGGTCACCGAACCCAAAACGTTAACTCGGACTTTCCTTCACGGATGCTGCTAGACTTGTTGAGATTTACCAGCAACTTCTGTTTTTGTTCCTGATTTACAGCATTCGTTCAGTTTTTCTTCAGGAGTGTGCTTTTCTCTCATCGCCACTGAAATAACTTCACAGAGGCTGGTATCCCATCAGCCAGTCACCCTTTATATACATGTGGAAAGGTCTTGACACTGATCTAGCTCCCTCAGGGCCAGCTCTCAGAGTGAGCAGGATGTCTCACACTCCTGTTCTTATCTGTCAGCCAGGGCTTCCTGATTGGACAAGATTAACAGCCTCATATTCTATGAAGTTCACCTGGCTGACTTTGTTACAATCATTACATATTTAAACTGCTCATCCATAGCAGGACAGTCAGGCCAGTCTGGGTGAGCACTCCAAGGTATAGAAATTCTATGGACACATGATTTTGTTTGTACAACTACTGTTGCTTTGGTTTTCTGGCGGCAAGCTATGAACAGTATTTACAGGAGTTAGATTTAGAGTGTAGTTTTTGGTAGCCTCAACTTCAACAGGCCTGGATTTGAACATTAAAAATGATTTTGCAAGCTTCAGCAGCTGTGATAATTATCTTTCTCCATGCTTTGCGAAATAGTTGGTGGCGGCGACACCCTCGATAGATCTTTGTTCTTATTTCAATTTCTACATATTCAACTTTCAAACATGACATTTGACTACTAGCAGCCTCAGGCGTATGCACTATTGATCAGTTGTCTCATTGGCCTTGTTGACTTGTGCATCTGAATATCATCATGTCTGTTATTTTCCCTTGACTTTAAATCATTTTGTAATTGATTTGCAGTCATTTTGATCAGGTGTAGGTCATTTGAAAATATCCTCCAGACCTTTGCTGGTGTAATGGAAAAGTCTTTTTTTTTCAATTTGTGATATAATGATAAAATCTTCCATTGTTCCTAAGCCATTTTTAGAGTGGAAAAACAGAGGGTGACTCCAGATGTACTTCAAAAGGGAGTAAATTGGGTATAAAAGCACCATTGCCATCAGCATTTTTGTTATTCATTCAGAGGGTGTCAGCTTCACTAGCCAGACCAGAATTTCTTGCCCATCCATCATTGTTCAGAGAGCAGTTAAGAGTCAACCACATTGCATGTAGGCCAGACCAGCTAAAGATGGCAGTTTCTTTCCCTAAAGGATATTATGAACTAGATGGATCTTTCCCAACAATTGACAATGGTTTCACAATCATCATTAGATCTTAATCCTAGATTTTTACTGAATTCAAATTCCACCTGTCATGGCAGGATCCAAACCGGAGTCCCCAGAACATTACCTGGGTTTCTGGATTAATAGTCTAGCAATAGTACCACAAGCTCATCGCCTCCACTTCAGCTGTGTTTGGACTACCTAAAATAAAGCTTGTTAAAACTGAGCAACTTGTGAAATGACACACAACTGAAAGTAGTTCAAAGCCTCATAAGAATGGTATTGAGTGATGCTTTATTTGCATTTCAAGTGGAGGTTGAATCTCAGTCCTGAGTCTGGTCATAAACTATCGCTCTGAATACACCTTTCTATGAATTAAAACAGCTTAAACATTGTAATCTTACATGTGCTTCATTAGTCCATCTTCAACTATATGAAAATATGAATATTCAGTTCCAATCACAAGGAAATATGATTGCTGGATCCCTAGCTTGCACTGTCATACAGTGAGAGGATGGGTAGTAGCAGCATACTTAAGCACAAGATGCTCAGACCACTTATGGGATTAAACAGCATCATTGTAACCAAAAGAAAATCAAAAGCAAAACCTCTTAAGCAACTTTGCAATGTCAGTGGAAAATCTCATCCACCCTAGCGCATTACAGAAATTCGACTGTGTTGCACATAATTTTCCACTCCTTACTTGGAAATCATGTAGTGTGGGCTTGAACCTCTGACATGCATGCTCAGTGGGTGATACTTCCTTTTGTTAGTACTTTAGCCACGTATCAAATCAGTCAGAAAATGACCCATAAAGTATCCAATCTAGATTCAACAAGCAAAAATTAAATGCATTTATTTCAGGTTGTTTCTTCATATCTTGAGTGATATAACTTACTTAAATCTTTACATGTGATCCATGTGATATGTAATTTCATATCTCAGTAAGCTAATATCTGCTTTTTCCACAGGCCTGAGAGTTCTCTAAAACAGACCTTAGGTAGAACTTCTGTTGGAAAAAACGCAAGATCCAGAACAACAGAATCTCGATACTTGGGAACATTAAAAATGTTGGACACAAAGTCTTCAGGAAATGCAACATTTAAATTCGAAACTGCAGACACAGTCAGAGCATCCATATATCAGGTGATCAATAATACCTGACATATCAGGGAAGTAGAAATATATACCGGTGAAATATTCTGTGTTGTATACCTTTGAATTGTTTCATACTATCAGATGGAGAGACACTGTGCTTCTAAAGTCAGACATTACATAGAATCAACAGCACAAAATTAGCCATTTGGTCCAAAAGTGCACACTAGTAGTTATGTTCCAGTCAAGCTACATTGCATCTCTTTTCATCCAATTGTGTCATTGTGACTCTCTTTAGTTGTATAACCTTCCCTTAAATGAGTTCCATATTCTCACTTATGGGTAAGACATTTCGTCTGAATTCTCATTGCATTTCTCGATGACTAACTTACATTAATAGCTCCAATTATGCTCTTCCAGCAAGTTTATTTTTATTCATTTGTGGGATGTGGATGTTGCTGGCTGGCCAGCATTTATTACCTGTCTCTAGTTCCTCTTGAGAAGGTGGTGGTGAGCATTCTTCTTGCACAGCTGCAGTCCACCTGCTGTGGGTTGACCTACAATGCCATTAAGGTGGGAATTCAAGGATCTTGATGTAGTGAAGGAACGGCAATATATTTCCAAGTCAGGATTGTAAGTGGTTTTGAGGGGAAGTTGAATGTGATGGTGTTCTTATATATATGCTGCCCTTGTCCTTCCAGATGGAAGTGGTTGTCGGTTTGGAAGGTGATGCCTGAACATCTTTGGTGAATTTCTGCAGTGCATCTTGTAGATACTACAGGAGTGTTGGCCGTGGAGGGAGTGCATGTTTGTGGATGTAGTACCAATCAAGCGCACTACTTTGTCCTGGATGGTCATAGAGTAATACAGCATGGAAACAGGCCCTTTGGCCCAAACTGGTCCATGCTGCCCACTCAGCTAGTTCCAACTGCCTGCATTTCGTTCATATCCCTCTAAACTCTTCCCATCCACGTACCTATCCATGTTGTCAAGTTTCTTGAATGTTGTTGGGGCTACACTAATCCAGGCAAGTGGGGAGTATTCCATCACTCTCTTGACTTGTGCCTTGTAGATGGTCGACAGGTTTTGGGGAGTCAGGAGGTGAGTTACTAGTCTCTGACCTGCTCTTGTAGCCACTATGTTTCTGTTCACAGAATCCCTACAGTGTGGAAACAGGCCATTTGGCCCAAATAGTCCACACTGACCCTCCAAACAGCATCCCATCCAGACCCATCCCCTTATCCTATTCCTGTAACCCTGCATTTCCCATGCCTAACACACCGAAGCTGTGTGGACATTGTGGGCAACTTAGCATGGCCAATCCACCTAACCTGCACATCTTTAGACTGCGGGAGGAAACCGGAGCACCCGGCGGAAGCCCACGTAGACACGGGGAGAAAGTGCAAACTCCACACAGACAGTTGCCCAAGGGTGGAATCAAACTCGGATCCCTGGCATTGTGAGGCAGCAGTGCTAACCACTGAGCCCACCGAGTCCAGTTGAGTTTCTGGTCAATGATAACCCCCAAGATGTTGATAGTGGGGAATTCATTGATGGTAACACCACTGAATGTCAAGGGCGGTGGTTCGATTGTCTCTTATTGGTGATGGTCATAGCCTGGCATGTGTGGCTCAAATGTTACTTGTGACTTGTCAGCCCAAGCCTGGATATTGTCCAGATAATGTTGCATTTGGACATGGACTGTTTCTGTATCCGAGGAGTCGCGAATCGTGCTGAACATTGTGCAATCAGCGACGAACATCCCAACTTCTGACCTTTTGACGGAGGGAAGGTCATTGATGAAGCAGCTGAAGATGGTTGGGACTATGACACTGTCTTGAGGAACTCCTGCAAAGATGTCCTGGAGCAGAGATAACTGAACTCCAACAACGACCATCTTCCTATGTGTCAGCTGTGACTGCAGCCACCGGAAAGTTTGCCCCCTGACACCGATTGATTCGTTTTTCTGGGGCTCCTTGACGCCACACTTAGTAATATGCAGCCTTGATGTCAAGGGCTGTCATTCTCCCCTCACCTCTGGAATTCAGCTCTTTTGTTCATGTTTGCACCAAGTCTGTAATGCGGTCAGGAGCTGAGTGGCCCTAACGGAGCCCAAAGTGGGCATCACTGAGCAGGCTATTGCTGAACAGGTACTGCTCGATAGCACTTGATGATACATTTCATCACTTTACTGTTGATCGAGAGTAGACTGATGGGGCAATAATTGGCCAGAATCAGTTGCAGCAGTAAGGAAGGTCAATATTTTGGAAGGATGTCAAATGAGGCTTTGTGGGTAGAGTTTAGGAGTAAAAAGGAGACAGGTCTCAGTGACAGGAGTGTATTTTAGGTCCCCAAACAGTCAGTGGGCAATTGAAGAGTAGACATGTCGACAATTCACTGAAGTGTGTAAAAACAGTAATAGCGAAATTATATTTTGGGGATTTCAACTTCCCCAATGTTAATTGGAATTTCTTGAAATGTATTCAGAACTTTTAATGTTAATGGGCTGATGAGAGACTGTGCAATGCTGAACCTAATTGTGCGGGACAGATGTTCAAGGTGACAATAGGGAAGCATTTTAGTGATAGTGATCACAACACAATAAGTTTTAACTTATTGTGGAAACTGAAAAAGATTGCCTGTATTAAAAAAAAGGTTTTGCATTGGGGAAGGCAGATTTGACTAAGGTAATTGATGCTTCCTATATTCTCATCCAAATCGTTTATGTAAATAACGAACAATAAAGGATCCAGCACTGATCCTTGCGTCACACTGCTGGTCACAGGCCTCCAGTCTGAACAACCCTCTACCAACATCTTCTGCCTCTTATCATCAAGCCAATTTTATTGGTTAGCTCTCCCTGGATCCCATGTGATCTAACCTTAGTAACCAGTCTACTATGCTGAACCATGTTGAAGGCCTTGCTAAAGTCCATGTAAAGAACATCTACTGCTCTACCTTCATCTATCTTCTTAGTCACCTTTTAAAAAAAACTTATGTTTGTGAGACATGATTTCCACACACAAAGCCATGCTGCCTATCCCTAATCATCCCCATCCTTGCTCTTCTAAATGCATGTAGATACTTCCTGCACCCCCATGCATTGTACTCGTGCTGTCATCTGTGTTGCTTTCTGCCCCATCATAATATCACTCCTTCCCACCACTCCCTCAGTGAACCCTATCTGTCTCTTGGACATCTTTATTCTCCACTGTGTTCTCATAGTGAACGCTCGCAGTCTGCTGCACTGCTTCATGCCCACTGTTTACTCACACCCTGCCACAGTCATAATGAACCCCCTCTGTGTCTTTTATTGCTTGATGCATCACTGTTTTCACTCCTGCCTGCTATTCTTGCAGTAAGCTCTCAAGTTCCTGCATTACTTAAAGCCTTTCTCTGCTCTTCCTTCCTGTTGCTCCAACACTAAATTCTCATGCGTCTGCATTGCTTTATTCCCACCGCGTTTTTGCTTCTTCCTGCTACTATCACGGCAAAGTTGGTCCAAGACTTCAGTTAGATGTAATGACAAAGCAGCTATAAAGAAGTGTTAAAATTGTAGCTTTACATCAATGTGCTTGCAATTTACCCAACTATCCATTTTTATAATTAACCACAGCGGTCTCTCCATCATTGTCTCATTTATCCCCCAAATTAGCTTTCCATTCAGCCATCTTGACCAAGCAAACGAGATTCATTTCATGAAAACATCTCTTCATTCTTCTCAATATTCTTTTCATTAGGAATAAGAATTACATAAAGACTGGATCTTTACATAGGAAGCATGAATCTATAGGAAAGTAGAACACATGATTATTTGCCAACAATGATATATGTCTACTCATGTTTTATAGGTATGGCTAGAAAAGAAGAAACAAGTCATTCATGAACAGCAGAGAAAACAAAAGCTAAAAGAGCAGCAGGAAAATGAAAGGAGAGAACAGGTTACCTTATTTGTCTTCAATCTTCCAACCTCAAATATGTTATTGAAACTTATGAAGCCAGCAAATCAGTTTAAAGAATCTTGAAAATGGTTTACTAGAATGAATGTTACCATGCCTGCAAAAATACTCAAATAGAGTCAGAGTTTTACAGCATAGAAAGAGCCCCTCTGGTTTATCATGTCCGTGCTGGGTATTAAGAACCTATCCATTTCAAGTCATCTAAAAACCCCACCAATTTTTCTATCATCTGCAAACTTACCGATCAAACCTTCTACACTGAAGTCAAAATAATTTACACGTACCATAAAAAACAAAGGTCGTAAATTTTAAGATGTTGTGATGGTTTCTACCTCCAGCACCCTTTCAAGCAGTGAGATTCAGATGCCCACTCCCTCTGGGTGAAAAGAATCTTCTTTAAATCCCTTTTAAACCTCCTGCTCTTTACAAGTACATGGACAGGAAACGTTTAGAGGGATATGAGCCAAATGCAGGCAAATGGGAGTAGTTCAGTTTGAGAAACCTGGTCGGCATAGATGAATTGGGTTGAAGGGTATGTTTCTGTGCTGTATGAATGCATTACACTTAACCTTAAATCAATTATTCTTGGTTATTGATTTCTCTACTAAAAGCAAAGATTTCTGTCTACCTATCTATGTTGCTTATAATTTTATACACTCAAACCAGGGCTCCCCTCAGCCTTCTTTGCTCTAAGCAAAACAACAGCAGCTGATCTAGTCTTCTTCATAGTCAAAATGCTCCAAACCAGGCAACATCTTAATGAATGAAATATGAAATAACAAACATGAAGAACTGTGGATGCAGGAAATCTGAAAGAAAAATAAAATGTGCTGGAGAAACGCAGCAGGTCTCACAGTGTCTGTGGAGAGAAACATAGTTAATGTTTTGAGTTCAGTGACCCGTTGTCAGAATCTTTTCTGCACCCGCTTTAGTGCAATCAAATCTTTTCTATAGTGTGGTAGCTAGAACTGCACATAGCCGTCCAGCTGCAGCCTAATGTCTTAGACAGCTCTATTATAACTTGTCTATTTTTGTATTTAGTGCCTTGATTAATAAATGCAAGTATTCCACATACCTTCTTAACTACTTTATCTACCTGTCCCTCCACCTTAAAGAAGTAGTGGGCATGCACATCAAAGTCCCTCTGATCCTTGATGCTTCCCTTTTCTGGTTTGTCCTACTGACCTTATCCAGTTTGAAATCGATTTGCCACTGATCAGCCTATCTGGCCAGTCTGTGTATATTCTCCTCATTACTTACCACCCCCCCAATTTTTCTATCATCTGCAAACTTACTGATCAAACCTCCTACACTGAAGTCAAAATAATTTACACGTACCATAAAAAACAAAGGTTGTAATCCTAGGGAAATCCAAGGACACAGGCTTCCAGTTACAAAAAGCACAATGACCATTACCCTCAGCTTCCTGGCACTCAACCACTTCTGAATCCAATTAGCCAAATCTCCTTGGATCTCATGGACTATTAACTTTGCTATCAATGCAGAAGACTGATATCAAAAAACTTGCTGAATCCAAGTAGACCACATCGAATGCATTGTTCTCAAATACACACCTGTTATCTCTTCGAAAACTTCAATCAAATTGGTCAGACGTGACGTCCTCTTAACAGAACCATGCTGATTGTTCTTGATTAATCCCTGGCTCTCCAAATGCAGATTAATTCTGTCCCTCAGAATTGCTTCCAATAGTTTCCCCATCGGTGAGATTAGACAAGCTAAAAACCGAAAGAACTGCAGATGCTGTAAATCAAGAACAAAAACAGAAGTTGCTGGAAAAGCTCAGCAGGTCTAGCAGCATCTGTGACAAAAAGATCAGAGTTAACATTTCGGGTCCAGTGACCCTTCCTCAGATGGATCTTTTCTTCACAGATGCTGCCAGACCTGCCGAGCTTTTCCAGCAACTGAGGCTACAGCTGCCCTGTAGTTTCCTGGTTTATCCCTTGCTATCTTCTTGAATAATGGTACTTCATTGGCTGTCCTCCAGTCCTCCGACATTCTCCTGTGACCAAAAAGGAATTGAACATGTTTGCCAGTACCCTTGCTATTTCCTCCCTTGCCTCACTCAACAGCCTGCGATACAATTCATTCAGCCCTGGCATTTATATACTTTTAAGTTTTAGATCCCGACTTATGTTATCTGGCTCCATGCATGAGCCCTACTCTTCCCTTGTACCTTTAGTGTACTTAGACCATAGATCATAGAACAGTATAGCATACGAATTGGACCTTCGGTCTACCATGTCCGTACCGACCATGATACTATGATAAACTAATCCCATTCGTCTGCACATGGCCTGTACCTCTCTATTCTCTGTTGCGGTGATTGTAACAAAGTCAGCCAGTGGACCTCATAGAAAATGAATTCCCCGATTGGGGCTATTAACCTGGCTGACAAAAAAAACAGGACTGTCAGAGGTTCTTTTCACTCTGAGAGCTGGCTAAAATCTTACTGCCAGCAGCTCCCCTACATTTGTGGAAAGGCCAGGTAAACTCTGGACTCGGTCTCACATCAACTATGCCAGACCTTTCATGGGCTCAAGTCATTGTGGATGTCTATTCAAAACAATTGGAGTTCATCTGTCAAACACGGGGATGATGATAGAAAAGCTGCGAGCATCTTTTGCAATACACAGACTCCTGGAAGCATTGGTCACAGACAACGGGCAATCATTTACCAGTAGGGAATTTGAATATTTCCTAAAGTCAAATAGCATTCGGCATACAAGGACAGCTCCATACCATCCGTTGTCTGACAGAAAAAGCAGTCTAAACTTTAAAGGCAGGATTAAAGAAACAGCTTACAGCTTCAGTCAGTACGAACCTGTCACGGTTCCTACTTAATTATCGGACCACCCCTCATGCAACTACAGGAATAGCTCCAGCAGTGTTGCTAATCGGGGAAAAGGACTCCACACCAAGTTAAATCTGATCTTCCCGGTCAGGGGGTGGGGGAGGAGAAGGAGGGAGAAACAGCATCAGGAATGCCAATGCCGCACACAAGATGCCTCTAAGCTAGGGAGACAGTTTACTGCAGGGGATGAAATTTGGGGCTGAAACCACCGAAATGGCCCTGCATGGTAAGAGGCATGGTCAACGTGAGGTTGGGTCCAGTGACATACAAGGTGAGGCAACCCTGAATAAGCACATGGACCACATGAAAGCTGCAAACTCACAAATGAGGCAGGAGCAAAACATACCCAGCCCCTCAGAACCGAAAAGACTGTAGGAACCTATAGGTTCTCCCGCACCATCTAGCGTCAAAGAAACCTCGGAGTCTGAGATGGACACAGTTGATGTCACAGCTTCAACACCTTTACCACCTAAAGAAGAGGATGAATTTCTTCCAAGGCCCTTCAAGCACAAGAAGCGGGCTACAGTCCAGTACGCATCGCCCATATCCGAGGCTGAGTAGGAGGAACTGGATCCGTTGCGAAAATGCCCCAGGACAGGCTAAAAAAAAAGAAAAGAACAGGCCTACCTCCCCAGACTTAGAGGGGGAGAAATGTACCAATTGTAACAAGGTTAGCCAGATGAACCCCATAGAATATGTGTTCCCTGATTGGGGCTGTTAACCTGGTCCACTCTGGGAGCCCTGGCTGACAGATATAAACAGGAGTGTCAGGGGTTCTGTTCATTTTGATAGCTGGCTCCAAGGAAGCCGGATCAGTGTCAAATACTATACCGGCCTCTGTGGAGTTCTCATCTGCCAGTTCATCTGTGTTTCTAAATGCCTCTTAAAATGTTGCTTCGACCAGCTCTCCTTGCAGCACGTTCTAGGTACCTATCACCCTCTGTGTAAAAACGTACCTCGTACATTTCCTTTGATCTTTCCCCATATGACCTGAAACTTGTTTCCATCTGGTTGCCCCTCAGCCTCCAATGCTGTAGCAAAAACAATCCAAGATTGTCCAACCTCTCCTCTTAGCTAATAAACTTCAATCCAGGTAACATCCTGGTAAACTTCTTTTGCACCGTCTGCAAAGCCTCCATGTTCTTCCTTTAGTGTGGTGACCAGGACTGCATACACAACTCCAAATGCGGTCTCAATAAAGTTTTATACAGGTGCATCATGAGTTGCCAATAATTATACTCAATGCCCTGACCAATGAAAGCAACCATGCAGTATGCCTTCTTTACCACCTTATTCACTTGTGTTCCCACTTTCAGTGAGCAATGAACTTGTACTCCAAGATCCATCTGGATATCAAAGCTCCTCAGGATGCTGCCATTTACTGTATACTTTCCTTTTCCATTTGACTTCCCAAAATGCATCAACTCACACTTGTCTGGATTGAACTCCATTCGCCAATTCTCCCCACAACTTTCTAATGGATCTTTATCATGTATCCCTTCATACCTTCCTCACTTTCCACAACTCCTCCAATTTTCATGTCATGTATAAACGTACTGATCAGCCTTCCTGTCTTTTCATCCGAATCAATTAACAGAGGTCCCAGCACTGATCCTTGAAGAACATTACTGGTCACAGACCTCCAGTCAGTAAACACTCCTCCACAAGTACTCTCTGTATTCTGAGATCAATTCAATTTTGTAATCAACTAATCAACTCACCATGGATCCACTGGAACTTAATCTTCTGGACCAACCTACCACGACGGACCTTGTCAAATGCTTTGGCAAAGTCCATGTAGACAACATCCACCACCAAACCCTCAATCACCTTTGAGACAGTAAGAACTGCCGATGCTGGAGTCAGAGATGACACAGTGTGGAGCTGGAGGAACACAGCAGGCCAGGCAACATCAGGGGAGCAGGACTCCGACCCGAAATGTCAACTTTCCTGCTCCTCTGATGCTGCCTGGCCTGCTGTGTTCCTCCAGCTCCATACTGTGATACCTCAATCATCTTTGTCACTTCCTCAAAAATCTCAATCAATTTTGTGACATAAGACCTTCCCCACGGAAAACCATGCTGACTGTCCCTAATGAACCCATTCTTTT